CCCTTCAACGAAACTAAGGCGCGAGCACCCAACCGCCGCTTTCCAACTGAAAACCCGGAAGCAACCGAAAACCCGGAAGTGCCGTCGAAACAAGATGGCGGCGCCCAAGCTTTGCGGCCCAGTAAAAAATGATCCACGGACCGGTCCCGGTCCGGGGACCGGTGGTTGGGGACCCCTGGTTTAGGGTTTGGAAGCAAAGGTGCCTCTAGGATTACAGGGTTTTGTCCCAATAACACAATAACAGGGTTGGGGGGGAAGCTTGAAATTTTTCTAGTCCAACCCTCTCAGTGGTGGGATTCAATTTTTTTTACTCCCGATTCTGTGGCCATGGCTTGGTGGGCATGGCAGGGGAAGGATACTGCAAAATCCCCCTTCCCTCCCCACCCCACTAACCTGCTTTCCAGCTCCGTTCTCCTGTGCAGGGCAACAAAAGAAGGCCCAACCGATCAGCTGGGACTCGGGAGGCAGGGAATAGATGGGGGCGGGGCCAGTCAGAGGTGGGATTGGCCGGTTCTCCAAACTACTCAACATTTCCGCTACCGGTCCTCCAGAACTGGTCAGAACCTGGTGAATACCACCTCTGAACCCCCTGCTCAAGCAGGAGATCCTATGCTATTCCAGACAAGTGGCTGTCCAGTCTCTCTTCTTCTCCAGTGTTAGAGCACCCACCACTTCTGGAGGCAAGTTGTTCCACTGGTCAATTGTTCTCACTGTCAGGAAATTTCTCCTTAGATCTAGGTTACATCTCTCCTTGATCAATTTCCATTCATTGCTTCTTTTCCTGTTTTCGGGGGGCTTTAGGGAATAGGTTTACTTCCTCTATTTTGTGGCAGCCCCTCAAATATTGGATGACATCTTGACATCCCAGTCCTTCTTTTCGTTAAACTAGACATGCCCAATCCCTGCAACCGTTCTTCGTTTTAGCCTCCAATCCTCTAATCATCCTTGTCGTTCTTCTCTTCGCTCTTTCTAGAGTCTCAGCATCTTTTTTACTTCGTGGCAACCAAAACTGAATGCAATATTCCAAGCAAGGAATACTAACACTTCACATGATCTTGATTCTATTCTTCCGTTAATGCAACCTAGGATTGCATTGGCTTTTTTGGCGGCAGCTGCACACTGCTGGCTCATATTTAAGTGGTTGTTCACTGGGACTCCAAGATCCACCTCGCAGTTACTACTATTGAGTCAAGTACCACCTATACCAAGGGGATGCGGTTACTCGATGGCTAAAACACTGAGCTTGTCGATCAGAAAGGTCTGCAGTTCAGCGGTTTGAATCCCTAGCGCCTTGTAATGGAGTGCGCTCCCGTTCCTGGTCCGAGCTTCTGCCAACCTAGCAGTTCGAAAGCACGTAAAAAACGGGGATCCCTTTGGTGGGAACGTAACAGCGTTCCGTGCACCTTCGAAGGCGTTTAGTCATGGCGGCAACATGACCATGGAGACGTCTTTGAACAGCACTGGCTCTTCGGCTTTGTAATGGAGATGAGCACCGCCCCCTAGAGCCGGAAATGACTAACACGTATGCGCGAGGGGAACCTTTACCTTCACCACCTATACCAAGGGTGTCAAACTCGATTTCATTGAGGGCCACATCAGGGTTGTTTTTTTTACTTCGGGAGGCCGAGTGGGCATGGCTGGGACGGGCACGCAGCCCTCCCGGGCTCCATTTTTGCTGGCAGTGGGCTGCAGGAGGCTGTCGCAGCCGAAAACAGAGCTCTGTTTCCACTGGCAGAAGCACTGCGGGCCGATCCTTCCCTTTTTCCAGGGCAGCCCTGTGGACCAGATCTAAACACCCCATGGCCTGCATGCCCTGAGTTTGACACCTCTGACTTATACTATACTTCTGCAACAAACACAGCCTTGCACATCACAGAACATAAAATCACTCCTCAACTTTCAAACTTTAGGACACCCAGGGGGGAGGGGGAAACAGGGTCACAGCTGACTGTAAATTACGTATGCCGGAGTTGGCTTGCTGTCAGGATTCCAGCAATCACTCTAATTAAATCATGATTCTCGAGCCAAACTTCAAAACACTTCAAAGGATTAATTAGAGGTGACATACTGGCCCTGCCCTGTATGAAGCCAACTCTGGCATACATCATTTACAGTCCCTGCTCCCCCTGAGTGTGTCATAAATCAGATTCTCCAATTGAGCACATTCAGGGGCTGGGTGTCATCATTCACGTTCTCCAATGAAATATATTCTCAGGCAAAAACTCTGGTATTTTAGTTACAATCTTTTAAAGATAAGAGTTGGAATGTACTCCTGCTTTCAAACTGTTGCACTGCTCTTCCAGATTTCCTCCCCCCCCTTTTTTATGGCAACTGCTAAAACAGGCATAGGAATGTTTTGAGTCAACACTGCAATTGAGCCCAGAATTCCAGTTGTTAAGTTGTAGCAATCATAGTAAACAAAAGGTTATAAGTCAAGGACTACCTGTACCTCTGTTGGAAGGTATGTTTTATGCTCTCACACATTGGCAGTAAGTTCTATAAATGTGCTTGTCACACCGTTATTTGTCTCCATCTCTTTTTCTTTTCCTCTCTTGCTTTGGACTCCTAAGCCAATGGGATAATCCCCCAGATTTGGGTGTTTCCATCCCACAGCAGAGACTGGGTGGCCCTTAAGTTTAACTCCATGCAAAATGGAGCTAAATTGAAGTTAGTTTGCTGAATCAATTAACCCCCTACCCCTACCCTCCCCATTGCAACTCCATCGATCCAGTTAAGTGTAATGTGGGGAGCAAGGCATGCCATTTATTTTGGACAGCCTGTAAATCAAAGTAGTGCTGAAGCTTGCAAATTGCCTGGGGTAATTTGATCATACTACACACGATTGGATTCTCTGGAGCCGGGTCTTTTTTCAAACTTGGCAACTTTTAAGATTGTGCAGACTTCAGCCGGCTGGGGAATTCTGGGAGTTGAAGTCCGCCCACTTTAAAGTTGCCAAGTTTGAAAAACACTGCTCTGTCTGGAGCATATGTGAATATTCTTAGATTGGGGATTAACCCAAGGCTTGAATGAGAGAATCAGAGGGAAACACAGGAAGAAATCAAAATTCAAACAGACTTTAGTGATGGTGTTGCATAAGGACTATCTAACAGCGCCCCCTTGAGGCTACATACACAAGTTGTTACATGACATTACTAAAGGAACCCTGTAACATTCTCCATCAGATTTTAGTTTTCTTTACTCAGTAGCTAAGTTGTCATGGTTGTCCCAAAGGTCCATTTTTTTCAAGAAGCAACTGGACTTCCTTGTTTTTTTTTCTTTGAGGACATTTCCTTCTCATCCAAGAAGTTTCTTCAGCTCTGACTGGATGGTGGGGAATGTAAGGATTCCTACTTCTTGCAGCCAGCTGATCATTTGCATCCTTTTAAAGAGTTGTTGAGACCACTTGGGACAACAGATTAAACCTCCAAGTGACCTCAACAACTCTCTAAAAGAATGCAAATGACCAGCTGTCTGCAAGGAGTATAAATCCTTCCATTCTCCACCATCCAGTCAGAGCTGAGGAAGTTTCTTGGATGAGAAGTGAAACATCTTCAAAGAAAAACAAGCAAGCCTAGTTACCTCTTGAAAAAACCCCTTTGGGACAGTCACTAAGTTGTGCCCCACTCTTTGCAACTCCATGGACCACAGCATACCAGGGCCCCTCTGTCCTGCATTTTCCCCAAGTCTGCCCACATTCATGTTCATTGCGTCAATAACACTTTCTGATCGCTTGCCATCCATTTCTCCTTTTCAGTCTTTCCCAATAACAGGGTGTTTCCCAAGGAGTCCTCCCTTCTCATTTGGTGGCCGAACTATTTGAGCTTCAGCTTCAGAATCTGTCCTTCCAAAGGACAGTCAGGGTTGAACTCCTTGCAATCCAAAAGAGTCTCAACATCGTCTCCAGCACCACAATTCGAAAGTATCAATTCTTCAGTGCTCAGCCTCCCTTGTGGTTCAACTCCATACATTACGACTGGGAAAACCATAGCTTTGACCATTTGTACTTTTGTCGGCAAGGTGACGCCTCTGCTTTTTAATATGCTGGCTAGGTTTGCCATAGTTTAGTTTTGTTTAATGTTTTTTTTATAGCCATACTAGGTAACAGCGCTCCTCCTTCTCCGAATCCAATCTGGAAATAAGAAGGAATTTCCAGACAGTGAGAATCATTAATCAATGGAACAGTTTGCATCCCGCAGTTGTGGGTGTTTGATTGGACAACCAAATGTCTAAGATGGCATAAGGACTCCTGCCACAGGCATGGGGATAGACTAGAAGACCTCTAAGATCCCTTCCAACCCCGTGATTCATTTCGCTCAGTCTTTTCTGAAACCGATCTGCTCAATCTGCTCTCTGCAGGCATAGTATAACTTCATATTACATCCTTCATGCAAAAATGGAAAGATGCGAGTCGGGTCCCCCTTTAAATCATTTTTAATTCTTTATACATTTGCTACCCAGTCCGGATTCCCTTTTCCTTTATGCTGTCCACACCTAGAATCCCATCTACAGTTCCGCCGGCGGAGGGTTGGACTAGATGACCTACAAGGACCCTTCCATCTGTTATCCCCCCACATTCGTCTCAAAATTAGGCACGTGTGAATCCGCCTCGCGCTCACACCCGGAAATCATCCGTGCCTAAACCGCCGCGCCTCCCGACCAATGAGCGCCCCTTTCGCCCGGCTCGCGAGGAGCCCACCAATCCGCGTGCCCGCTCCTTCCCACGTGACCGCTCTTCCTTCCTCCTCTCCCCCCCCCCTTTTCAGCGCGCGGCCCTGTCCGTCACCCCGCTCTCCAGCAAGAGGCGCGTCGTGGCGTCGTCTCGAGGCGGAGGCGGGCCCTTGACGCATGCGTAGACCCGTCTTGCGGTCTCTTTTTTTTTTTTTCCTTTTCCCCATCCCCCCCTCTCCTCTCCTCTTTCTACCCGGCTACCCGGCATCCTTTGCGAAGTGGCAACGTAAGCCGGTCGTGGCAAAGGCGGCGCCTGCGCAGTGAGAGGCGTTAAAAAAAAAAAAAAAAGAGCCGGCTGAGAGGTTTCCCCGGCCGGTTGACGGACTGACGGCAACGGTGGTTCGCTCGCCGACTCCGGAGTAGCCGCTTCGCCCTTCTCCCAGTCGGGTACGTCCCATGCTGAGCCTCGCTCCGGAAACAAGGTGGGGTAGGGCGAGTGGGTTTCCTCCCCCCTCACCCTCAGGCCATATCCACCCCCGTCCCCGCTCAGCCCCTTCCCCTCTTTTTCCTATGGGGAGCCCGGTTTGAATCCTGGCTCCCCTCGGGCGTCTCTGGAGAGGGGAGTGGGCGGGCAAGGATCTGCCCCCCCCATGGGATTCCCCAGGGATCTGCTCGAATGGCTTTTGTGGGGGGAAGGGGTTGCCTGGGTCCCCCCACCCCCAGTTGGGTGGAAGGGCTGATCCCCTACAAGACAACAAGGAAATCCAAATTTGGGCTTCCTCCTCACCCCCCCCCCCGGTGGAAGAAAGAGGCCGGGGAAAAGAATGAATGGAAATGACCGGGTTGGTTGGTGGTGGTGGGGCAAATGTCAAGTTCTGCCTTCATGAATCTGCCACCAATGCATTAAAAAGAGTGGGGGGGGGGG